TTCCTGCCTACCTTGTGCCTGCATCCCTCCCTGCATCCTTGCCTGCATCCGTGCCCCGCATCCCTTTCTGCATCCCTCCTTGCATCCCTGCCCACCCCCAGCACAGAGCAGCTGTGAAGGGGCCAAGCAGAGGTAGAAGGAACCGGAGGGACATGGGCAGGGGCTCCATGGCTCCTGTGGGTACCACGTCAGCCGAACGCCCAACTCTTTACCCCCCCATGGCCAATAAATATCCCAGCTCTGATGATTTTTATAAGGAGCCGTGGTTCAGCCCCTCGAAGGCACAGCTGGGGGGGGTTTAATGACAAACCAGCATCCAAAGACAAAAGGCGCCATGTGCCAACGCACTGAAACATGAAATAACGCTGCCAGGCCTGAGCACAGCGAGAGGGGCTGGGCTGTTCGGGGCTCCTTCCTAATTTTGCACCGTTTAACGCAACAGAGGCGATGCTCGCAGCAAGGCACCCAACACGCACCCCGCTCTGCTACCAGCCCTTGTGATTTTCAGTTTTGCTGTGTCCTTTTTCGCAGGGGTTGACAATGTTATTAAAATATCTGCTAGCAGGGGCTGTGGGGGAGCGCCTGGAGCGCCTTTGTTGGGGGAACACAGCGCTCACACGTTAAGTGACCCTCTGGATGGCAGAGAAATAAAGCTGGGACCTTGCAGATGCCGGAAAAATTAAATTACCAAGCGCAGATGGTCCTCAATTAAGAGCAGCGTTAACGACGCGCGGGCTGCAGCCCCGGCGATGGCACGACAGCGGCGATTGGGGGCAGGGAGGAGGGAGGAGGTGATGGGTGACACCACGCTGCTCCCCGAAATGCGCACCCCGTGATGCTCCCACCCAAACCAAGGTGCCCCCGCGCTGCTCTGGGGTCAGCGGTTTGGGCAATGCTGCCCTTGGTTCATGGGGTCCCCATGGTGCAGGTGAACCCCACTGGGTGCATCCCAGTGCATCCCAGTGCATCCACAGCTGACACCGGTGTAAGCCAGGGTCAGCGACCGCACCACAACCCGGACGACCCAGCTTTGCTACGCATTAACTCATTAATTAAAGCCTTAAAAATCAAATTGGATACAGGGATTAACTCGCTTCGCAATTAATCCGACAAAGTTAAAGCTGTTCAATGGCACCATCCTGGCTCCAACCGGGGAACCCTTCACCCCAATGGGTGCTGGCTCCAAAACCACCCCCGTCAGAGCCTCCCCCTACAGAAAAGGGACAAAAATGGCATTTTAGACCCCAGCTCCATACTGAGAAAGGACCTGGATCCAAATTCCCGCTTGGCAAAGCCTGGGGAGCCCCCGCCTCCGCTCCCGCACCCGGAAGAACAGGGGTGCAGTTGTGATGGGGCTGCGGCAGACAGACAAACAACCACCACCCCCAAAAGCAGCCGTAAAAATAGATGAAGGATCGATATGGAAACCTGCCCAAAACAGCAGGACAGCGCCTTAAATTTGCTCATTAAAGCCCTGAAGTTTTCCCACACGCGTGTGTGGTGCTGCCAGCGATCGGGTCCTGGCAGCTCAGCATCGCCTGAGCCCGGCCCCTCGCCAAGGTCGGGGCTCACAGCGGCCACCCCCTGCTCCCTCAGTGCCAAAATGAGCATTTTCCTCTGAAAACGAAAAGCATCGCGGCTCTAAAAGTTAAAGCGGCCAAACTGGGAGAGTTTTTGAGACTGAAAATGAGGAAATTTCAGTTTCATTTGAGAAAATGAAAAAAAAACCACCCAAAACAATAAAATAAAACATGAATTGGCCGACACAGGGTGCCCAAACTGAAGGTGCCCAGCCTGGGAGGTACTGGGAGGCTGGGACACGGCAGCGGGGTCTGGCTGGGGACACAAAGCACCAGTGAGGAGCTGCAGCTTTTCCAAGCCCTTTTCCAAGCCCCCAGCCCCACATTAATGCCAGCCCTGGCACAAGCCCGAGACCCCCAGGTGAGCACCCACAGGTTTCAACTCGGGGTCCAGCAGCTTGGAGAGCCCCAAATGCGGCTGTGCCCGAGGCCGTTGGACCCAAACTGGGAGGAAAAGCTGCAGGAACCACCCTGGCAGCAGCCGCCTTTAAACCCTCGTTATTTCTGCCCGGGGTAACAAAAGGGCAGGGAGCAGGAGGCTGCCATTGCACGGGGATCCGCACCTCTGAAATCAGGATCTATCTGTCAGACAAACAGTAACCAGAGCAAATATTGACGTTTCAGCAGCGGTGAGCAGACACCCGAGCAATAAAAGCAGCACCAAGCTCTTTTAGTTACGGCGGGGGCGCGCTGCCCCCCGCAGCCACACCATGG